TCTGTTAGTACGTCATATGCTTCGTTGATCTGATTGGTTTATTTGGCCCGTCTATCACCAACATAGGCCAATCAGCTAACCAGTATTTTCGCCCCTTTCCCAAAATTACTGCAACGGAAGGTTTCCAGATGGATATGCGAGCAAATCCATCTGGCGGAGTCAGGTTACTTTAGGGCTCCAACTAAGACTTATTGTGTTAATCAATGAATCTGTTGATTATTTTTTTTGATTTATTGAGCACTAAGCAGATGGCAGATGGTTGCTTAAAGAAGATTATTTTCAGAATTTAGACCAGGGGAACCTAAAACTTTTCCACTTTAGGAGTTCTGGTTAGATCATGTTGACGTACAAAAATGTTTTCATTTTAAATGCAAAATGTTATATATTTGTTTTTACAATTTTCATGTAATTACTGCTCTAAGTGGACCGCATTGCTATCTAAAGGCATTTTTTAGAGCCTCTATACTCCAGTTAAGGATTAATCATTATTAAATTAGTTAACCGCAATAACCGATTAATCACTATAAATCCAAGCTCAAATACTGGTAATACGCTTAAATGCAGCAACAAATAATTCAATAAATCTATGCGTTTTTCTTGAGGAATCTGAAGATCTCAAGCGGTCAGCAGGTTGGTAGCGATGGCCTCTGCAAAAAATCTCCACAGCTTCCCATGTTTGTGATTCTATGTGGCCTTTCCGTTTCTGGTTGACTCGCTATCATTTCCAACCATTTTCACTTTGTTTAGATAACAGAAACAGGGAAGGAATTTTCCCAACTGGATAGCACAGATGCTCTGGTACCACAGTTGAATTCACTGAGCTCCTCAGGGAGATGGTTCTTCATAAATGTTTGTTGAAGCAGTATGCATGACTAGGTGCTTAATTTATACACATGTGGCGATGGAATTGGGGCACTGCATTGAGTTATTTAGAGGGATGAAACAGCTCAGACAATATATATACTGTATATATATAGGTATTTACCTATGGGACAATTCTGTGTGAGCTACAATTTTTAGCTCACTTCCCACCCATATTGACCTTTTATGTAAATGTTAACATATTCTGTGGCTTAAATCAATTATTCTATAAAGGATTTTATATAATTTCCTAACTGGTGTAGTCATTGAAAATGTAATATGCCAAATTAAACTTTATACCATCGTTTTTTTTTATTGTCCAAATAGCATTTGTCTGCCCCTGATTTAGATAACATGTTCTCCACCTTAAGAGCAACTTAAGTTGGAACTTCAGTTAATAAATGAGAGATGGACAAATACAGTGGCTGACTACGGAAGCCCAGAGCGGTTGTGTCCCTCTGATTCTTTTTCACAGTGGTTTTCTCGAGAAAATAAGTACATTTTTTCATTATCTAAGGATTACGAAAGCCGTTTTATTGTGGCAACAAGATGACTGGTGTGTGTTAAAACTGATTACATCCTTCAATACCACAACAGCGGGAGATAATTTATACGTATAAGTCATGGCAGCCTATGTGTAATTCTGTAAATAATCCCGTGTTTAACTTTAATGTAACGAGACAACGTTGTGTGTTTGATGATTTGCTTCCACTTGTGATTCATAAGCAATTTGACCAATGCTGTTTTCTGAACAGCCCCAGTGTCACGCCTGTGACAGGTATAATATGCATTCACGGCATTAATGCAACCGATTAAAAAACAGTCAGATATGTTTCTACTGTATTTCATGCAATCCAATCATTCACCACCACCTGACAATAAGTAAAAAGAAAAAGGAAACTAAAATGATTATTTTCGCACACGTGGTACCGCGACTGCAGAACTCCGGCCACGCAGGCATGGATGGACTGGGAATCCAGGGCTGTTGGGCAGCCTCATTCATTACTCATACAAGTTAATCATCTCGTTAACTCAAGAAATCAATAACTGTTTTCTCGTGACATAAAATGAGATAAAAAAAATGAATGGTTTAAATGTGATAACGAGGTTATGTCATCATCTTGAGAAGATAAAGGAAAAAAAAAAAAAGACTCCACCCGCTCTCGGCTCGCATAGCTGGCTAATAATTTTGGCTGATATTAGCGATTTTTCTCTTATATATTGGTCGATATATGCATGCTTAGACTGATTCATTAGTGAATCCAAAACGGTGGGGTGTGCCCCCTAGGGATGGCCTAGTGCAACTGTATTTATTATTTATTTTAGTAATTGTAAAGCAGTAATTAAAAAACAGTAATTGCAGTTTTTTATTTATTAATTGATAGGAATATTACAAATCTGTTAGACAGTAGAATAAACAGGGTAACCTAAAAGTTTAGTGATTTATAGTAGATTGTTTTTTTTTTTCTATTCCTATATTTAATTTTCTACTGTTGACTTTTCTCTCTTCAACTGTTAAAAAATGTTTGAGCAGGGTTAGAGATTGAGAGGACACAGAAAAGTTCTTGTATGCATAAGAGGGAAGCCAGCGAGAGTTTTGTGTGTGTTAAGCAGCCATGCCTTTAGATTATGTGAAGTGATTGCATTTCTGTTTCCTTCATTTACTATCCATTGCTAATGTTTTGTTTGATTTGTCAATAAATGGCACTTTTTGTTTCAAAATTACACAATATTATCATTGTGTAATTTGGCAGATGTAGGAAGAGAAATTGGCCCAAGAATATTGGCACCAGCCTTGTAAGACAATCTCTAAAATAAAAGCTTAAGAAATTGTCTGCATTATATCAGGAAATTGAAAAGCGATATTTTTAATCCCATTACTCTCCGTTTTGGACATTATTTGGCATCTTCCGCAATAGAACCCCATCAAAATACTGCCTTATTAGATTGTAAAGAATGTATTCATGACAGCTGGAAATAATAACCAACAAATACTGAGATCTAAACAGTTAAAGAAAAAGTTAAAGCACACACTGATATCCAGATAACAGATTATGCAGCTTCTATTTAGATTTATTGGTATTATTACTACCTATATGTTAGTTTCTCTATATACTTTAATACTGGTGCACACACATGAGTATCCACATTGCTAGTCTGGAAAATGGCAGGAGTTTCCTTCAAAAAAATTCTTTTGCCTTTTTTAAAATGCAATATCATAGGGTCTGCATGCAGATTAATTCTTTGAGATATAATTAATTTGGAATTTTCTACCAGGCACCATGTTCCAGTCTGGGGTATCTTAAAACACAACTGTTAAGAGTTGTCTAATTTACTGGGCCAGAGGCTAAACGTCTGTACCAGACCACTATTGCCTTAAAGGCAGTAGGGCAGAGTTTCATCTTTCATATCGTAGCATATTGACAAAGATTTGTTCTCTTTTCTTTTGTTTGCAGGATCAACAGAAAACCTGTATTTCTTTTCCCAGAGGAGATGTGGCAGGACCTTTCAGTATGACATAAACTAAAATCCCCCCATCCTACACGTCTTCAGGGATGGATCTCATGAACCTCACCACTGTCATCGACAATGGCTTCTTAGATGAGATGCCATCGAGCCGCGTGCTGACCGGCTGCTTCCTCTCGCTGCTCATCCTCACCACGCTGCTCGGAAACACGCTGGTTTGTGCAGCCGTCACCAAGTTCCGTCACCTCCGCTCCAAAGTCACCAACTTCTTTGTGATCTCATTGGCTGTGAGCGACCTCTTGGTTGCCATCTTGGTGATGCCCTGGAAGGCTGTAACGGAGATCGTGGGCTTCTGGCCATTCGGGTCCTTCTGTGACACCTGGGTGGCTTTTGACATCATGTGCTCAACAGCATCCATTTTGAACCTTTGTGTTATAAGCTTAGACCGCTACTGGGCCATCTCCAGCCCCTTTCGCTACGAGAGGAAGATGACACCCAGAATGGCCTATGTTATGATCAGTGTGGCCTGGACATTGTCTGTTCTGATTTCTTTTATCCCTGTGCAGCTCAACTGGCACAAAGCCCAGAGTAAACCTTACAAGCCCCTCACTGAGTCATTAGTGCCGTTGGGATCAAACACTACATCTCTCCACACATCTGAAAATTGTGACTCCAGCCTGAATAGGACCTACGCTATCTCCACCTCTCTCATAAGCTTCTATATCCCTGTTGTCATAATGGTTGCCACATACACACAAATTTATCGCATTGCTCACAGACAAATCAGAAGGATCTCCGCCCTGGAGCGTGCCGCAGAGAGTGCCAAGAACAGACACAACAGTTTGGGCCGAGGCTCCAGCATCGCAGAGTCCGAAAGCTCTTTCAAAATGACATTCAAAAGGGAGACAAAGGTGCTGAAGACGCTGTCTGTGATAATGGGGGTGTTTGTGTGCTGCTGGCTGCCATTTTTCATTCTGAACTGCATGGTGCCCTTCTGCGAGCAGTCGAGCGGAGGAGAGGCCTTCACTTGCATAAGCCCCACCACCTTTGACGTGTTTGTGTGGTTCGGTTGGGCGAACTCTTCCCTCAACCCCATCATCTATGCCTTCAATGCCGATTTCCGCAAGGCCTTTTCCATCCTGCTGGGCTGCCACAGACTGCATCCAGGAGGCCACAACGTAGAGACGGCCAGTCTAAACAAGAAGTGACTCATGACTCTCCCAGCACTGACTCATCCCTTTATTCCAGGAGTCCAGGAGTTTAATGTGCATCCGGTCTGGCTGAGAAGAGGATGTCGCTGTCTGTGGTTCTGAGTGGGACTGGATGGTACTGTGACACTACGTGTGCACACGTTTGCATTGCTTGAATGTGACCCTGCTGTGTTTTCTGTCACTGTTACACAACCTTCAGAATTGAGAATAATATCTGAAAGCAGAGTGGATTTGGGATTGAGATTAAGATGTTGCTAGTTGGGCCAGTAGTCTGAGTATGTACCGGTACTGACATGGTTCCAGGATGGATAATCCATAGAACTGGGCAGCCTGCACTGCTGTCCTCCTTATCGTCCCACTCTGCTGCACACAGTGTCAAGGCACTCTCAGCTGAATACAGTGCAACTGCTGCACAACTCATGCACTTTACAAAATTACACGACAGCTCACAAATCTACTGTCGCACATGAGATTGGAAATTCTCTGCAAGGACCAAGGTAATGCATCTAACCAAATCATGCCGGGTGTAAGCGTGGGAACACAACACATCCACAAGTGGCTTAATATTTAGGACAGAATGCAAAACAGACTAGATGAAATGATTTATGTTTTATTTGACAGCTCTGTAAAGGGAACGCTGCTTTCTGACTTTATTTTAAAGGTAACATGTTGGTGTGACCGTGTACTAAGCTAGTGGGATTTTCCTTTAGCTCTGCCTTTTCTTGGATTAGTATAGATAAAGTTCATATTAAAGTACTTTAGCTTGAAACTGCACCATGAAATTGTCAGAGGACTGCAATCAGACAATTTTAATATCAGTGAACATAAAAAAGCCACACTTCCAACGACACTGAAACTGGAAACTATTACTGCCGGAGAAAGACTTAAAATCATTTTTTTCTGTTAGTAAGGTGCTTAAACTAAAGAAAATTGGAAGACAAATGTATTTCCTCTATTGGAAACATATCCATTTTTTACTTAGGCTATAAGAGAGTCCAAATCTTAACAAAAATAGTCACTTAGATAACTATTTTTGATTTAAAGTTGTTCTCTTGTCCTAATTTTGAATTAACATTCAAGACCTGATGGTTATAAAGACCCTGAAATTGGGATCAGAAATTTATCATAACATTATTTTTGTTAAATTTACTCTTAGTTTGATTTATTTTGGAGCTCACATAACAACAAAACTCAACAAAAGCTTTAACAACACCAGTTATTTCATGGTCTGTCCTGCTGGGTTTAAAAACCTTAACTATTTTAGAGTATTAATAAAAAAAAAAAAATCAGTTCTTAAAAATATCATGTTTTTTACACCATAAAATTATTCTATGCTTCTTGGTTGGGGTAGTTGATTTAAATACATTAGGAACTTAACCTACAGCTTTAAAGTAAAAAATAAACCAGAATATATGCTGTTGTTTGATCAGTTTAGGGAACTTCTAGAATGGATAGTTTTTACTTTAGATTTTTTTTTCAATTTCCTAGTTGATAACTAGTGTGACCTATTTAAGGGATTAGTCTGACCACTGATGGGATGAGTGATGCATCCCTGATTTCATGAGAATTAATGGACATTGATTAGTATAGATTATAAGTTATTAAATAATAAAGATTGTAAACCAATCCTGAGATTTTAAGACACAAACGAGTGAAAGGACTTGATGAATAGGTGGAAGGATTCTTGCTAAATAGCTGAAAGTTTAGAGAAAAATGTGCTTTATTAAAATACATTAAATACTTTCAAACCGGAAACATCATGGAAAAATATTTACTTACATAAATATTAAATATGGGTAAGCCATATAAGTGGGAGGATTTCACTGGCACTCATTGTTATGATTGTAATTGCAGATTGGAGCCTAACCATTATACATTCTGTTTAACATTAATGACTTTTTAAAAACAACAATTAAGTATACGGTTTTGATTTTATTACACAGCTTTCTTTCTGCACTGCAAAAACAATTTGGAAAAAATAAGTCAAAATTTCTTAAATTAAGTGTATTCACCCTTAATTTGAGTATGTAAAAGAGGTAGTTTGCCAATGGAATGAGTATTTTTACTCTTAAAATAAGATACCGGTAATTGGATAAAATGCACTTGAAATAAGACAATGCAATTGTGTTTTCTTATTTTAAGTGTGAA